GTGGGTCGCGGAAAGTGGCTATTAAGTCGCTAAAGAAGCAACTTCCGTGAGGATTTGTTGATGCAGGAGAGGCGGAAGCGAACCTACGTCGAGCATTTGAAGAGGCGGAGAAGAATGCACCTGCAATCATCTTCATCGACGAGATTGACTCAATTGCGCCAAAGCGAGAGAAGACAAATGGAGAGGTCGAGCGCCGTGTCGTCTCCCAACTCCTGACGCTGATGGATGGCCTCAAGGGGAGAGGTCAAGTGGTTGTGATCGGTATGTCTCCATCCGGAACGACCCAAAAAAGAAAGAGAAGCACGTCGTTGACGCTCTGTTCTTGTGCTTTCATTCTATCCAGGCAGCCTCTTTTTCGGGTGATAGACAGCGAAGGTTTCACGGCTCCGTCCGGATGTTTGGGCCCACATCAGGATTCTCAAGCGTGTACAAATGTCTATGACAAATGTACCTGTGGTGCTGCAGGGGCCACCAATCGTCAGAACTCCATAGACCCTGCTCTGCGTCGTTTTGGTCGTTTTGACCGCGAGATTGATATTGGCGTGCCAGATGACAACGGACGCCTGGAAATTCTGAGAATTCACACGCGCAACATGAAGTTAGGCCCGGATGTGCGGCTGGAAGAGCTGGCCTCTAGCACCCATGGTTTCGTGGTAAGTGGCTCGTATTTCGCGCACTAGGCGCGTTAGGTTGCACAAGCGCATATTCCCTGACGTACGCACCTTTGCGTGTATGTATAGATATGTGCGACTTGAATTTGTCCTTAATTTCCGCCATTGTGCCCATACAAAATTGTCGCGGGTAACCTTGCAGCATGGGAAAGTACGCAAGGCCTTGTAGGTGGTATGGCTTCGTGAGCTCGCTGCTTTTTTTGCAGGGCGCTGACTTGGCACAGCTGTGCACTGAGGCAGCTCTTTCATGCATTCGTGAGAAGATGGATTTGATTGATCTTGAAGATGACACGATAGACGCCCAGGTAAGGGCGTGGATACTATTCAGGTGTTCGTAGCTGCTGCTGTGCTTCCTGGCAGGAGTTGCTGTGTGGTTGAGGTGCATAAGCAACCCGATTTGTATGGCCTAAGAGAAAGGGTAGCTCTTCGATCTTGCTGTCTGCATCTGATGTTTGTCTCTTCGTTGTGAAGGTCCTGAATTCCATGGCAGTCACTCAAGAACACTTCTCTTCAGCACTGCAAAGCTGCAATCCTTCTTCTCTCAGAGAAACGGTTGTCGAGGTCCCCAACGTGAAGTGGGACGACATTGGTGAGCAAATCACATGTGTCAGAAAATGTCTTGGGGCAAAAGATTACCATAAACGCGAAGTGGGGCTGTCATTCCATGGCACCTTGAAGCACTCATGGCGCTGTTGCGTCCGGCGCTGCAGGCGGTTTGGAGGAGGTGAAACGGAACTTGCAAGAAATGATTTTGTACCCAATCGATCATCCCGAGAAATTCGAGAAGTTCGGAATGAGTCCAAGTCGAGGCGTTCTTTTCTATGGACCTCCAGGTAAGGCTGAGATACCATCTTGCGGTTTGTCCTCGACTGCTTTGCATGAAGGAAGCACGAGGTGTTGAAACACGAGATGTTGAAGTTTTGTCAGCTCACTTTTGTGTGTAATCGAGTCTGAGTCAACGCATAGTGTATGTGCTATCGCGGATCTGGCCCGTCTGAATTTCTTCTGGCGCTTGTGTGTGTAGCGTGCACACATATTTGAGTTTTTGACTGCGCATCCTGCTACATATACCGCCTTATTTTGGAGTCTGTAGGAGTTGTTTCAATCGAGCGATTTAACTTGACGTGATGGAAGCATATTAGCATGCTGCTTGGCTTCAGGATGCGGCAAAACTCTACTGGCGAAGGCTGTAGCCTCTGAGTGTTCTGCAAACTTCATATCCATCAAGGGCCCGGAGCTGTTGACTATGTGGTTTGGTGAATCCGAAGCAAACGTCAGAGAAGTATTTGACAAGGTATGTAGAGCTGCGAGAAGCTGCATAGTTCAGTTCTTTTTGTGCCGTTTCACATTTATCCTGTGCGGCTGTTTAAGGAGTGACGCTCATGAACTATGTCTTGAACCTGTATGTATCCTGCGATGGCTTCAGGCAAGAGCTGCCAGCCCCTGTGTTCTTTTCTTCGACGAACTTGATTCGATCGGCACGCAGCGCGGAAATAGCCTTGGGGATGCGGGAGGCGCTGGTGAGTTCAGCGGATTTTTAAGCTAGACGGACTTTGCCGAACTATTGAACAGGGTAGATATATTCTCGCGTGGTGAATTTTGATTGCTCGCAGGTGACAGAGTCATGAACCAGCTGCTGACAGAGATAGATGGAGTAGGCCCCATGAAGAATCTCTTCTTTGTTGGGGCTACCAATCGCCCTGAGCTTCTTGATGAGGCTCTTCTCAGGCCTGGGCGTCTCGATCAGCTTATTTATATTCCTCTACCAGATCTCCCTGCTCGTGTCAGCATTCTGCAGGTTAGTGTGGAGCTAAGCATTGCCTTTAGACCGCTCTTCAGAGTCGGGACTTCGCTCTTCAGCAGCTGGGCTGTCGAGCACGGAGCCTAATTTTTCATTTTGCTGCAGGCAACTTTGAGGAAGGCACCGGTGGCGCCGAACGTGCCTATCCCGTTCCTTGCTCACAAAACTGCAGGTTTTTCAGGAGCAGATATTGCGGAAATGTGCCAGAGAGCAGCAAAAGCGGCTATTCGCGACGTGAGATATTCACCTAATAGGTACTAACAGCTGCATTGGCGCGTCAAGTCGGTGCGGGGTGTTCAGTATTTACATTCACATGCTCATTTGCAGAGTGCTCGGCTCAGAGCGTAGAGGCACCCTTTCTCGAACTTTTTGGCTGTTTCCACCAGGCAATTGCTGCTGAGGAGTTGGCACGAGCGGCGGGAAATGAAGGGATGGATGAGGATGAGACTAACATAAAGTACGAAATCACCCGGAAGCATTTCGAAGAAGGCCTTGCGGGTGAGGACTGGTCCTGAGGGTTTTTTTTCAGTTACGAATCGTATGCGTTTCTGAACCTACATGGACCTTCACTAGACACTAGGCAGTTGAAAACATTTGAAAACTGCGGGGGAATACTTTCAGTAGGCTGTCCAACTAGTTCGAATTGTGCACGGGAAAAAGCGGGAAATGACTGGCATGTTGCTCAGATGCGGGTTGTATTGGGTGTATTCTCACGTGTGTGTTGTTATTCTCTAATGAGGCATGTCGGGGAGGGCTTCCTCACATGTCGCGGTGGTGTTGCTGTGGCGCAGGTCTATCTGCTGTGTTGTGTCAATTTAGATGTTGCCGTGCCTCTTAAATGTATATGTGTGGCAGTGCTGTTAAGGACATTTTTGTGAGGGAATTTGCCTGTAGCAGGCATTTCAGACGTGGTGGGATATGTGACTTTGTGAACAGGGGCCCGTAGAAGTGTTTCTCAGACGGATTTGTCTAAGTACGACTCCTTTAGAATGAAATTCGATCCAATTTACAAGAGCCAGGCCGCTGGAGGCGACGGGTCAATTATTGTCGATTGGCCAAACACCGATGGCGCAGCCACCGACTTGGTAGGTTGTATAATGTGCAGCTGGGCGCGTTTGTTTTTTGTCTTGTGGGCATGCATCTACATTTGGATCGCGCGCGTATAAATACCTCTGTTAATGTGTTTGAACAATCATTTAGTGTTTATGTGCGGTGCTTTGAAGCGGGACCAGCCAGAGTGAAATTGCGCCAATGGATAGATCGTGTGCAAGGCGACATTGTTGCCCACGAAAAGTAGCACCGTTAGCTTAAAGCTCCAACAACTGCCTGTGCGTGAGCATTTATGACAGGTTCGGGTCGAAGAAGGCGACGACGATGATTTGTATTCGTAAAGGGGTACCAGGGGCGAGCTTTCGTACAGCTCAACAGGTCTCCCGTAATGAAAAAACTACAAATTATAGTGACTGCTCTCGAAGTTGCGGCTCGCGGGGCAGGTGCAGTTCTAGGACCTAGACGAGGATCCTTAAGGCGGTCGGACGGCAGCAGAAAGAAGCAAATATTTGGCAGCGGCGTTGAACTGTTAAAAAATTTAGTGTATTTGTTGCCTGTATCATCTAAAGAAGTATTGCACTACACACTCGTATTGGGGAGGGGCGAGCACATCTCAGCAGTAGCTATCGCTGCCTCCTCTTCCAGTCCGACGAGGAAACGCTGTGTGTGCTGCTGAAAGGCAGTATGAACACGGAAGTGCGGTGTGCGGACGTCTGCCTTCAGCTTCCACTAGGTCTGGTATTGTTAAAGCAGCACCTTAACCGGACGGTTCCATCTTTGTCGCACGAAAAATTCCGGGGTTTCAGCCCCATATACAGATTCGACTACTAAGCAGTTCAGTTCAGCAGGAGATCCGACACAGAGTTGAACAAGGCCGTAGATATCGGCTAAGTAGCGACAGTGGGACGACTGGGTGCGGCCTCGGCAGACCGCAATGCGCAGACACGAAGTGCATAGGTTCGTGGTGGAAGCTCAGAGGTGAATGCCTGTTGATTTAGTTCCTCCATTCTGCAGTCATTCGGATCGGCTTAAGGCCACATTAAGCTGCAACATTTGTTAGATGCCAGTCCTCAGTGAACGACTTTCGCTTTGGTGCCCATGGAGGTTTCCAGTAGGGGCCTAACCAGAACCAGCGCCCTGACCTTCCGCGCATCTGTAACGCAGAAAGTCACAAGGCAAAATAACACGCGGCTCACGGAACAAGTGCTGCAGAAGTGAGCCCTGCAATTTCTCACCATCCTGGGCTTCCCGCCGCGTCGAGCTCTTGTGTGCGAGAACTTCGCGGGATAAAATTCGTGCGCCGTCACCTGCACACGGGGAACCACAGGGATCAAAACAGCGAAGGCCAGCAGTCATACGGACATGCAGAAGTACCAGCAGGCACATACACGGAGCGATACGCGTTTCTATATGAAAGGCATGGTAGCGGAACAATACATGAGCCCGGATATATGCGCCAATATGTCCGGGCTCTGTATCTAATATTCGTAGGCACTATTCGTCGGTGCCTGCTTAAGTCGCTGCGGCCTCACCGCCACGTCGAACTGCGCCATTATATCCTGAACTCTTCGGTCATCCGGCCCTACAGAAATGACGACCCAAAACCAGCGGAAGCTTCAATTTTTCCAGTTGAGACTACCAAGTAGGAAACACTTTGCCCGTGCTGCTCGTAGAACTCATGGGCTACTTGGTACCTAGTCTGGCTGAATCCGACGAAATAAATGCCTCTACTGCCAACTCTTGGCATCCACCACTTACCCAACGCTGCGTACATGCAGCTAAGAAGGGTCCGACCCGGACTGGGAGCTCGCGGCTCCAACCAAACGTTGAATGGGTGCACGCCAGTTCTCTTGGCTTCTGTGCAAGCCTTCCACGTCACATGTTGCAAGGAGCTCTGCGCAGCGACCGCTCGCTCAACGTCTCTATCCCCGTTGACATCTATTCGCATATAATTACACTTCGCTGCGACTGTGAGCCAGTCCACGTGGCTCTTCATCGCCAGTTTCAACCCCGCCGATTCAGTCTTGTCCAGGAAAAGACGAGCAGCTAAGCAGCGACGAGTCCTAGCTAGCCATTCTGCCAATTTCCAAAGAGGAACGCTCATACAGTCATCAGCAAAACACGTTGTTTTCCCCGCGTCGTCTGAAGATGCTGCCGTTGAGACTGCCGGCGGTGGAAGGGGCTGCGCGCCGCGCGCCTTGGTGAACAAGCTCTTGTTTAGGACTGAAAATAAAACTAACACCGGGGTGAAGCACAGTGAGAAATAAAGGTGGTAATATTATAGGTGTCTCCATCCGTACAGACCGGCTATGGTGTCTACATACGCCGGAAAACCTGTCACGATAACTCGCCAACTACTCCTCTCCAAATGATGCGGTCGTTTGAGTGAAAACTATGCAAATGCTGTTTAATTCAAGCTTTTCAATTATACACAACTTAGTCCCCTGAAAAGTTTACAAAAGATCGACACTGCCATGACTTCAGATACAAGCGAAAAGCTGTACTCCTTGGTAGGGCTGCAGCTGCAGCTTACGTAGCTGATTGTACAACGGCAAACACCGGATAATGGGACAGTCGTCCGAAGCCCATAGCGGTTCTTCAGTTCCAGTAAGCTCCTGCAGGGCTCCACGCATATCCATGGAGGCGGGCAGTGCATCTTTTCGTAACTTTGTTCCTGATGACCCTTGCCGGATATCCATAGCCCAAGAAATGACCTCATGCACTGCCTCCAGATCCTGCAGAGATGTAACTCGGAACCAAGACATACTTCCCTTTCTTTCCAGTGTTAAAAAGTGCAAGTCGTTGCTGTTAAGATTAAATCCTAGTGAATATTCGCTGGCTACCCATAGCTAGGCACCAGCAGGGCTGCGCGGCTTGCCGTTGTCTTGAGTTGAGGAACATCAAACAAAGCAACGGTGCCGCGGGCTGCCAAGCGCGCTGCGCGTTCGTCTGCATCCAGCAAATATCCAGCCGGTGACGAGCGTTCATTTTGCTTGTCTTCGCTGCCCAGTTTCACGGGTGACTGAAACGCCGAAAGACCTGCGCCATTGTTAATGATGGAGGAACCTCTGCGCACAGGTGGATGGCTTCCGAGATCCCTGCCCTTCAGTGGCGAGAAGAGACCCTCCTTCAGCTGATGCAGAAGAGACTGCAATATACCAAGGCCACAAAACCAGGTAAACAAAATATAGGCCTGGTGCTGGTGCTCAGAACTTGCCAGGTAAATAAGGCATCCATCTTCGCTGCTTTGCACTGTCAGCTGCACAGCGGAAGTACCTGAATTTTCTTTGGGTCAGCTCGCTGCCGTATGGATCCCTCTACTGCTCACTCAATCACATAGACACACGTCTGAACCAATACAGCAGCTCAGGTTGCTGTGGTGCAGCAATAGCAGTTTTCAAGCGGTGCAACATGAGAGGCACGAAGTGGAGAAGCGCACAAAGAGAAACACGGTTTCTCAACAAACAAGAGCACACAAGGCATATGGCTACAGCAAGATTTGTCTGTGGCTAAATAACTCGTTTTACACCTAGCGCTTGTTAAGCTGGGGCTGGCAAAGCATCGTGCACGTACGCTGATCCAGCAGCCGATCTCGAGGAGATATCTGGGCAAAAAAACAAAGAAACTATAGTATGACTAGGGGGACGCTCGGCAAGACAAAAAAATACAGATAGCACAACGCAGCAAAAAATATCCTAAGTCGAAAGGATGGCAAAAAACCGTCAGACACTCGTTCAATTCTAGTTCAAAAGCTCCCACAGATACTTTTTAAAAGCGCATACAGCTTCCGTTCCAGAGGAACCTGTCGACATGGCCAGAGAAACCGCAGCCATCAAGGCCTCCCTACGCGCGTCTGAGGCACCAGCAGGCAACTCTGCAGAGACAACAAAGAGAGAAACGAGCCCAAAATGAGGCATACGCACCAAGGCACACGCAATCTTAAGTGCTTCACGGCTGCTCCTTAACAGCTACAAGAGACAAGGACGAAGGCAGACACCGAAAAATGGCTCACCATCAACGACGCGGCCGTCAAGCATCAGCAGGCAATGAGGCAACGAAGAGACCCCAAAAGTCTGTAGCAACATGGGAGCCTTTTCACTTGTGGCCACTATTAGCTCCAAAGCAGCAGTTTTCCCTTCTTCTCTGCTGCGGCGAAGGGACTGCTGTAAAGAGGAGACACGAAGAGAGAGCCACTCCCGCAGCGCTCGACAGGCGCCACTCCATCTGACGGGGGGAACAGAAACACCAAGAAGAATAAACCAGAGGATTCAAGATTCGTCTCAAAGTAACTCTAGGTGCAACAGAGATGACACCTTCGCCCGTTTTATGTTTCCGCTCCTTTGTCTGGGCGCATTTGGACTCAATAGAGTGATTTATATCAAGACCAGCAAGATACCTAGGCAATATGGCAAACAGCAGCAGGCAGATTTGATGAAGGCAATATGTGGGGCAGTTTGATACGAACGAGCAGCAGAAAATAGCACTCGACCGGCCAATAATATCACGAAGAGGATACAGCTTTACCTACACCTGAAGCGTCACTAGCAGATTTGGAACTGTGAAGAAGCAATTGATCCTCTTACTCAGCAGTAAATAGCACGATGGCAGCCTTTGGGACACACAAGCCCGCCTTTTTAACAACAGACATAGCTCTCCTGTCAACAGTCTCCACATCTGCTGACTTGCTGTCTCCTTTGGCGGCAGCAGATATTCTTCCGAAGGAGACACCTTGTCGTATTTTGGCTTTTGCCAAGCAAGGCAACCAGTGGCTGCTAGCGTCAGTCACTACTGTAAACCCAGGCAGATCATCCGCATCAGCAGAGGACCTCTGGGTGTGTTTCGCGTGGCCGTTGCTGCTATCACTGTTGCTGTTTCTGCTGACGCTTGTGGTGCTCCTTTTGCCTCTGCTGCTGAGGTTATGAGAGGCAAATGTGCTAAGGCAGCGGCAGGAGCAAATAAAGGGCCATGAAATGAAGCTCGACATCATCTTCATAGGCGGCTCCAGCGAACGCATCCCGTTTGTCCCGCTTGTACATTCGTACTCGCGGTTTCGGAGCAGAAGATGGCCCTGAGATATATAAATGTGGGGCACCGCTGTGTAACCTAATGGCTCACAACGGGCGCAAGGAAGTCGCTTTCGTATTGCAGCAGCAGTCGCTGCACGCAGGAACTCATTTGCCATTGTGAGGATAACCCCAACGGAGGCTCGTTAAGGGGCAAACTGCCGAGTTGGAGAGCTCAAAAAATCCCTCCACATATCTGTTAGCAAAAAATGAGTGCCCGCAGGACGTTTCAAAGCTGTTGTCGGTCCTACTGTGAAATCTTCGCAAGAGTCGCCTCACCACACATCTCCAACTAACGGGCAGGAGAAAGGGCCACAACACGCGGCAGATTAACTGCTGCGCATACTCTTGTGAGTAAGCGGGCGGTGAAATGAAAGAGTCGTATTATGAGCCTTTGAATAAGCGATGAGTGACAGCCCCAAGGCATGCATGAGTATAACTTAAATTATTTGCCACGATGACCCGCCCACTTAGATTGAAATCAATTATAAATCTTTTTTGATGCCTAAGCACAAAATATGCTTGTAATTTTTTTCACACTCAGATTGTTGTTACCATTCCGATCGAAATGGCGCGATCTCCCCGTGCTACCGAAGACCTGGGGACTTCGGGCGATACTAAAAAGCAAGCAGTTATTTTCGAGTTATGCCTTTTTATAATTCGTTACCTGCCAAATTTCCCAAATAACTCAGGGTTCCGCACCAGGATGCGTTGCAACACAAAATACACATACACTCACATGGCAGGGACAAAGTAGAACTAGTCCCAATTTTTTGAAGAGGCTCGCTTAGTGCTCTCTTTGAGCACACGTTTTCCGACTTGTTCACACTCATAGGTCATGTTACACCTAAGCCATACTATGGATAAAATGTAAGTCCGCCATTGGGGTAGAGGCGCTATCCTGTGGTTGAGGCTGCACTGTTCCTCGGTGCAAAATTTTGAGCAAAAGTTCGCTCCCAGCTTTACAGATTCACAGTGTGGTCCTTGCTAGTTCTGGTTTCTTCATCTTGCAGATTCCAAAACCACGTTGGAGTCGGTAGCAAGCCACAGGCATGCTTTGTGCTTTATGACTCGCACCAAAAAATATCGAGGCATGCACGTGCTTATTTGCTCTTTATGCGTAGGTCTGAAGTAGAAAACTTCAATTAACAGCCTATGAGGCACTGGACACCACAAGCAAAGCGCAGCTGCACATTGCTTGTGGTGTCCAGAGCCGGAGAAACAAGGGCGAGTTTGTTGAGCAAGGGAGTTTGTTCCGAAAAGTTACCGACTATTGATGGCCTGTGCGAAGGAAGCCAAACTAGGAGAAGTGGATTCGTTGCTAGGAGGCAGTACGGGGGAGCGATGAGGGCCCCACAGAGGCAGCGTCGCCAAAAGAGTCAGGGGCCCAGCTGCACGGTCGAAAACCAACTTAAGCAAATTATGCGCTCTCAAGCACTTTATGCGCCTTAATAATGATGATCTTTAGCACTGCTTGTGCACAAACGGATACGGACGCGGTGTTGATTGCTGTGAGCTCCTCTTAACTGTAAGTTAGGCGTAACTGCTGAAGAATCTTCAGGGTAATTCAGTATCAGACAACTCCCCTTTTTCGAGATATAGAGCTGCGAAGGGTGGCGTCTCCCGGTCGTCGGCCCGTGCGAGGCTCTGTTTACCTGACTGTACGCAGTTTGCATATCTATCTTTACACTTTTGGGGGCTAAAGACACTACATGAATATCCAGTTCGTCCTTGCTTAGACCAAAACCTCACTCTCAAGGTTTTGCTCCACGGCACTTTTCATGACGCCTTTCTATCAACTCGCAACGGGCTGTGTGACTGACTACCTTACAATGGTGTCCAAGGTAAATGTTGGGCTACTAAGAGTACCAAAATATGTCGCCTGCCTTCCCCTAGTATTCACTGGCTTGCAGGCTGCACGTTCTCTCTGTAATGAGAGAGATTGTCTGCCCTTTGGTGATGCAAAACGCTCCGCAAGTTGACGTCAATCTGGAAAACTAGTACGAGCACTGTTGCCACGCCAGCAGCAATAAATGCCAGTACTGGTCCTAGCCGTGAGTCTATACGCTGCACAACGTTCGCTACTCCCGCCTTCGCAACTCTCCTGAAAACATACACACAGTCGATATACATCATCACGTAGTCTTTCACATGCACGCGTTTTACAAGTAACAGAAAAATCAAGAGACCATAGTGCTGGTGCAGCAAATTCAATCCCTACTGTGAGATTCGTTGGCACCGCTTCGCGTATATCGTGTAGGCTCCGCAACATAGGAGAGCGCAGGCGCACGCCAGTATAAGGACAACAGCTAGTCCCCAGCTTCCGCTTAGCGTTTGCAAACAGCTGCACAGCATGTGACACCAACAATGCCTCTCACTGTTAAGTACAAGTTCAACTATTACACTAAAGAATAGTTGGTGTTAGTGCACGCTTGGGGAATGATGTGTGCATCTGTGCGAGTTTTAGTGAGCTTACGCAAGGCTCGCTCCAGCCAGATAGAGACCTTTTTGAATGTAGTGGAGGAAGGTGCGTTCTCCAGCGAAAGACGTTTTTGGGTCAACTTTCCTCACAGTGCGAATGTGGCGGCGCATCAGTCGTTGTTGCATGGAGTCTGCACTACTTAGAATAACTCCACAAGTCCTCTCTTCCTCAAATTCCCCCTCAGCAGACGAGTCCTGGCAAATGGGACGAGGAGCCTGCTGAAGCTGCAACTGCTGCTCTGTCTGTAACCAGCAGAAAGTACGATGCGCTGCTGTCGCCGTTACATCCTCCTGTGTACAAATACAATTGCTGCAAGAAACGTTCATAGCGGAAGTATTACCGATGTATGCATATTCTATCGGCCAAGCTACTTCCACATGCTGCGCTCATTAGTAGAATACGGGCCCCCCAAAAGCATGTCATGCATTGCAGCTCTAGTTACCACCTTGGGAAACTGCAGCTATGTGTGAGAACCGCGTACCCAGTCTGGTTCCGTTGCAACCACTGGCTTGCCCTCGCCTGCACCGCATTACTGGCCGCGTCAACCCAGCTAGGTTAACGGGTGCACTCACCACACGTATGTGGCAGATGCTACCCGGTTGTGGGAGCTTTCCTACAAGCTGGCTAGACTTATGCAGTTAAAAATTGCGAATCTATACCTACCAACGGGAAACAAGCTTCGTCTCTTTACACCCAGGGCGTCAGACGGTGAAAGCCTTGGCGCATGCTGGTCTGCTAAGCTGCGAGCTAAAGGGGTCAGGAGACTATCAGGACTATTCCGCAGAGACTCGAACAGTGAGCCACCTAGCGCTGGCACTCCAAGGCCGCTGCGTTTCTTGTTGGCTGAGCTTTGCTCATCTTGATTCTGCTGCTGAGCAGACAGCGGCGTTTGCAACCAGTGAGGCAGCAGCCCGCTGCTGATCTTGTCGCGATGCAGGAAGGCCATTCCGTGCTGAAACTTCGAAAATTTGTACACCAGCGCTGTAGCTCAGACGCATCACAGACTTCCATGAACGTAACTTCCTCCAATGTCAACGAAACACAAGAGGGAAGTTCGTTAATTCAGCGGCGTGTGCAGCACAGTTTGCATACTACAGAGAGCTGTGAATTAAAGAAGGAACAGCGTCGAGCCAATCGAGCTTTGGAGCTCCATCGCATCCAACGTAATGAGACACCGTCTCCAGACGTGGAGTCGCTCCCGAAAAGTATCGCAAGAGCAGCTCACAGAAAACTTTACAACGATGTCCACGTGCATAAGCGTACTTGCATCCGCTAATAAAAGCATCGATTGTACCCAAGCAGGCGGGGGCTGCTGCTGAACCTTAACTTCAAGTATTGCATAAGGAAAGCGCACAACTTCATCCTGCAGAAAGCTCACACCACTACAGGGGCTACTGCGAACTATCAAACACTGAACTCTGGAATGTCAATTGCCTAGGTCACAGGAGTGTACTTTTCAAAATATTGGGTGCGTCATAACACCTATTTGATAGCAAAGAGAATAGATGCCTACATAACCTCTGAACAGCCGAACAAATCCATACCTTTCCGAGCAGCTCGTCAGCAAGTCGACACCAGTTGAAACCTCCATATTCCTGTCTTTGAGGTCTGTACTCGTTGACCATGCACAAATTCGTGTCCAAGGAAATGCGCACCTGTGGAAGCAAATGCGGCGGCCACATCTCATACATCTGGAGGCGAAATAGACGCTTCACCAACGGTGACGGCTGCAGGTCCTCACTCCAACTCTTGTCAATGTGCTGTTTACCAGTTCGGGACTTCACGCATCCCAAAATTCTACACGTGGGCACTATGGAGGCGTGCTAAAAGAAGTGGCACGTTGTCACCACAAGCGTGTACGGGACGCACTAATATGCAAGTGTGCTCATATGGCGACGTACAGAGCGGCAGTCAGTTAACTATGTGCTTACAGCATTCGATGTCGCCAACTGAAAGGCAGCCCGAAGATAGCTCGTCCGAAGCTGCATCGGAAAAACACAAATGCTTTATGCGCACTTGAAGGCACCCTCAAATGGATGCTGAGAGGCTTCTGTTGTACCCCAAATTTTTTCGCTGACGAAAGGTCACAACTAATATATACTGCAATGCCTGTAGTGATATACGGGGGGCAAGAAACGCAGCATACAAAAGCAACCCTCTTTATCACGGCGCTCAAGAGGCATGCGAAAACGGTTATGGAGTGATTAGAGCAAGAAAGTGCAGTAATGTTTTTGGCATGCACACGCTCTGCGTTGCTCGTTGATTACCATTGGTTGAAGCTGATGCTCTGCAATTTCTTCTTGTATTTCCTCTCCTAGCTCGATTGCCTTTTTCAGTTTGCCATTTTTCGCGATATACTCCGACGCGGCAATCCCCGCAGTGTCAATAGTCACACTGTCGACTGAATCAGGCTTTGATGACTTTGCTGCACTTGAGACAGTAGGATCTCCAGGGCTCTGGCCGCCATCAGTTTCTGGTGGCTCAAATCCAGAGGCCTCCAGCAATAAGTCTCGCGCTTTTCTTTGCAGGAGCATATAAGGCGCGACCAGTCTCTGCGGCACGACGAAGCGTTCTTTCGTGCTGCTCAGGCCACTCCAAGATTCATGATGTGTTTTCCTGAAGTTTGCAGCAGACAGCAAGTGGAGAAGTGCGTAGCAAGTTCATGTGCTCACCTTTTCAGCCCTCCCGGAATTTGCAACAAAAAACCGAATGCCTTCAAGAAGGTGATATCCCTCACCGCTCAATGAATATGTCTTCATCTGGGCCGTTGTTGTTGGTGCCGTACCAACGAAACCGCAGCAGCTGCGCGCCTTCGAAGCGTCTTATGCGGCGCTCGTAGCTGTACGCATCTGTTATGCAAACACACCCACGCCACCGCAAATGTGTTTAAAATGAAAATATTCAGTCAGGCATCTGTGTGCAAACGAGTCAGAATAAGAGAGCCTATGGTGAAAACTTTCAGTTTACATTATACGCTGCCTGCTGCTACATGCGCATGACGCCCTGCGCGACCATGTGCTGCCCTTATGAATTACAATTGCAGCAAGCTGCAGTGGCTCTGCAAAGGCGGCCGCACTATAGATAGAATACAGTGGAAGACGGCGACGGTCAATAAACGGCACCCACTTGCACTGTCAAAATATACTGATGCTACCATCTGTGTTGGTGCAAGATTAGAAGCACGCTGCTGGAGCTTTTCCAAGGCACTCCTTGGACCTAAAAGTGAAGCCTCCTGAACATAGAAGTCACATAGGCGGGCCTCTATACCAAAAGCAATGAAAAACGAACACATGCAAGTGTGCGTATTCTAAAAGCAAGCATAAAAAGAAGGAACGGATATCTCGTTTCAGAAGTGTACCGTCCCCTTCATATAAAGAATTCTGTATCCACATACTTTGTTTGAGTAAACCGTCTTCATCACAACGTCACAACAAAAGTACTGAGGTGTATCCGTGCAAAAGTGACTGCGGTGGTTGACTTGTGTCCAGTTGCTAGAGTAGTAGCTGCCGCAAATTATGCGGGTTTTACGCAGAACACTTATGAACCTCTGCAAACATGGACAGTGCCGCTAATTCGAGCTCACCAGTTCCTTATCCGATGTCCCAAATACCAGAAATGGCAAATGACGTACAATCAGGCACTGAGCCCGCACCTGTAGACAAGTATGAACTTGATGCAAAGCCGCACTCCACACGCTGTTTTCCCTGTCTTTACCAAATACACGGGCCACCCTACTAAACAAGTAGATAGCTGCTATTCACGGTCCGTATGCGCCCTTCGATGATCTTTTTCCCTTAGAAAAAATATTTGCCAATATTGCGAGCCCGTTTGTCCCCGTTGTGTACAGCCAACTGAGGTTGCAGCTTCCCTGGTTCGCATAATGCATGGGTATGTTTGTGCTTGCATGAACCTCCACAAGGATGCTGCGGCCCCCTTGCGTGCAAATGAAAGAGCATTAGCAGCACTTACAATGTTTTCCGGTCTGATCCAATACTTTGTTGTGGCCCGGACAAATGAGTCAGGCGGCTTCCACGCCGCGGACTCTAGCTGTTTCCCCTCCTGCACATTCCCCAGCGTACACAGCTCGCCTCCAGTTTGCTTCACGCCCACGATGCACCTCATCAGCCAATTCTGTTTTTTCAAAAGCACGCCGCGAGCACAAGTAAATATTGTCAATCCTAGGTCTGGTGTTTGCTCATCAGCGTACAAGTCTAGAACGAAACTTCCCCCAAAGAAGAGACAACATCAGAACGAGTCGTTCAAGGTCGACATTGCAGTATGCCTCCTTCAAAAGAGATGTAGAAAACCATCGTGCAGTCTTCGCCTGCATCACAGGAAGGTAGTTTCGTACTATCGTGCTATCAGCTCCGCACACAAGTACTTTCTCAAAAGCTGGGCACACCTATCATCGTTTCTCCCGCCTGTAGTGGAGGCCACTTCCGTGCAGACGGCTCGCAGACCCAGATGCAGACAGGACTTGTAATGCTATACAGGCCAGTGCCCTCCCACAGCTTCTAAAGAATCAACGTACTACAGCTGCTTACGCCTGTGAGAAGACGGTCGAAATGGGAACAGAGGGCAAGCAATGCTTTGTGGTTCGTCCTGATGTACAAGTCAAGATGAATTATTTCTGCGGCAGAAAATGGATTATTTAGCAAAGGATGGAAACGTGAGCATACGCATCAGGACTGCGGCACGAAGCGTATACGGCGAGATGCAAGAGCAACGGCAATGCAGGGTTCAACAGCCTCCGACAATGCAGAATCCACACACCCGCTGACTGTTCTTCAATAAGTAATTCTTCGTCTCCTTGCAGTTTTTCGTGCTGAGCTCCCACACAACAGCAAAGGTGCACTGATTCCCTCGTAAGACCATCAGCGGCCGCTCTCCAGGAAACACATGGGTTTTAAAGAAGAGAGTTGTCAAGTGCAACGCTAGCTACGCATGTAGCGAAGCGACAATCGAGCTTGGAATGAAGACGCGCCTGTTCCATGCGCGCAGCGATGAGCCTTATGTCCGACTGAATTTGTCGTTCCTTCTCTGTCGCAAATTTATTTAACTCGTTCACTTGTTGTTGAAGGAGACCCCAGAATTGAGCCTCTGTACGGACAAGAGGTCAATCAAACATCACAGAAGCAGCATGCGTGCGAAAACTCGAAAGTCCCCGAACCTGAGAATCAAGAGGTCAAGGGTTAGCGCGTGATTCATGATGTCAACTACTTAAACGGGCACGGTACACAAAACTCACCAGAAAAACAAACTTAGCTTGTTTGAGTTTAACGATTCACATGTGTGCATGCCTCGACACGCGCCCATACGCACGACAAAATGTGTAGTTGCACGCACCCAAAGTCTGCATACTTAGATGGTCTAACCTTCGCTGCTGGCGGAGCTCCACTGCGCATGAGCGGGTCAGTCCTACCTGGTAGTAGAGACAGTGTTTCTGCTTCAGCCCTCAGACTGGATCCCGCCATTCCATCATCAGCCCGGGCAGCTGCCGCAGCTGCAGAGGGCAAAAAGTGGGTGTGCGAAGGGTCTGTTGATGCAGACAAGGAAGCTGGTGAGTCCACGTCTTGCTGCTCTCCTGCAGCAGCTGGTGACGTTGGTTTTTGAGCTCTGCCATAGGGGAGCATTCGGGGCCTCTGTAGGATGTCAAGGCGACGCTTCAGACAGAAAACGAAAAAATCGGAACGCGGAACGCGGAAAGAAATCGAAAACAAATGGTTCAGGTCATGGGACTGCGTACCCGGGCTTGGTGATGAGCTCAAGATGGCCACGCCCAATCATAAGGGAGGAGTACACAGGGTGCTTACTCGCACAGTCGCTCGCTGGCGTTGCGCTCGCTGCACAAGACTTTCCAGCTTCTTCTTCAGGCGCCGGATGTCCACATAGGCGGAGAGATAGTGCGCAGGGACGCGTATTTGAAATGGAGGGGCGGCCATCGTCGATCAAGCGTGCGCAAAACTTTAGCGTAGGAAAATTAGCCTCATTGTGATGCAGATGAAACAGTGGAGCTCCGAGCAACAGGGCGCTTGGCCTGCAGGAGGAACCGGTACTAGGCCAAGCTCAAACTGAAGAAAGAAACATCAACAGCTTCTTTAAGGTGTGAGGTAAGTGGAGACCTTAGGTCGCGCTCATTTAGCGGGAAGCCCTCGTTACGCGAAAAGTCGCACAGGCGAAACTAGTGGTCCCTCATTGCGCAGGTGTTACGCGGACGCGGCGATTGCACGAAGGGCGAACATTGAGAAAAATGCAATAATAATCAACGTCTATGGACGAAGGCTCGCATAAACAGAAGCCTTAGCGCTCATTGACTTAAGCTTACGAAATGCTATAGTATAAGGAGAGATGACAAGTAAATCTTAGGCTAGGAGACCCCGCACACCGTCCCTGCAATTTTCGTACATTGATGCCCAATAATGTGTATGTTACTTCCAAACCAGATTGTAATTGCCCAGTTTACTTTTTCAATTACTGCAACGAAAGATGCGCATGCGCGCTGCTGGCACGGGGCTTTCTTGGGTCCTGCACGATGCTCAGTCTTCTCGATGACGCACCGGTTAACGAGTGAATGTTTATTTGAAACAGAAAATATTTAGCAAATGTCCACATGTACCTTTTGTTTCTGTGCTTGAGTGACGCTCTTCGCCTTCTCAGCCGTCGGAACTCTTCGCTGGGCCCTTGCAAAGTACCCTCCGGTGCGGAGGAAACGACTGCGAGGGGCGACATAGACTGCCCAGCGGTGTTTATTTGCTAAAATATGGATACCTGTGCTCAAGTAGTGTAACGAGCACTTCAATCATGTGCCATAAGCGGTTACGACACCTGCCGCTCGCCGGCGTAGTTCACGTCTAAAGGACTTTGCTGAGGGCAGACACAGCTCAGTGTAGTGATGGAGCCACTACTCAGTAGGTTTACTTGAGACTCCACTCTCGTTAGCCAAAGTACTCAGGGGGTATGGAAGCTCTAACGGTAGTCCGGTGCTGTAGTGCGCAATGCGAAACGGAGACAGAGACTTGAGAGGGACGGGTAGAGCAAATGATCAGGTTCTCTGGTGCATCTTTTCAAGGAAGACGTATAAAGACGACTTTTCATCTCAAGTCTTTTTCTCAGTTACGCCTACTTTGAAATAGGCCACTGCACATCCGTTACACTATGGCGGCTGAGGCAGTGGATGGTTCGGCACTAGCAACGCGGGAAGCTACAAAGGACAGAACATCTAAAAGAAGCGTCACAGATGCGTATCCCGTAAGGTTCAATATTCCCGAGGCTGACAAGGAGGCTGGCTCTCCCCTAAAGGAGAAAAGTGTACCACGGGGCCAGGCCACCGCCAGCTTGCTTCTAGAAGCGCCAGCAGGCCACAGCCAAGATGCTGCGAATGCTCCTGGAAGAAAGCCCACTGTGCATCTCGGTGCTGATGGGCGTCCCCTCCCCATACTGAAGGGAAACAGGGGTTTTGGCTATGCCCAGGCGCGACGGCTCGTAGAACAACTGCGAGTTAAATTCGCCTTCGACAGGAATGAGACGCGGTTCTATTGTCCAGATACAAGCGAACACGCTGAGCCACCCCCCGCTCCTGCCGAATTAAGAGGAGCTGTCCTAGGATTTCTGAAATCATCCAAGAAGGTAATTCTGGAAGCACAGGAAATTGCTGAAAGCGCCGACCACCAAGCCGAAGAAACCAAGAAAATTGAGGAAGAACTGACAACAATGACACAAGAATATGTGGAAAAGCTTGAGAAAAGAAAGGCCATCCAGAGAGCAAAGGCTAACCAAGCAATCGTTGTATCATCCACGAGGCCCCAGCGGCGTTTCCTATGCTGTGGTGGCTCACCAGTAGTGCCATGAAACCACAAGCGCACGAACCGCTGCATCACCTTTGTGTCTCACGCACATTGAACAGGGACAAATCTGTAGCTCAAATGCAGCGCACTGAAAGGAGCTAAACCCTTTTCGCTTGCTCCTGCCACGAACGTGCCATTAGGAAGATTGCTTTTGATGGGAGTCCCAACACACTCCTTTCCGGAGAGGATACAATAGTTGGTGTTGTGGTTGAACAGCAGAAGGCATAAACTCTACATATGTATAACACTGTTGAGCTTGGAAGTAACGTACTAATACGCCAGAGCAACGCTTCTGTCTGCCAACACTCCACCAGCACGACGCAACTTCGCGAAAGAAATGAAAGGTGAACACCGTGGCTGTGCTAGAGTACTATTCACTAAGCATATATCCAAGCTGCCACCCACTTGGTCAGGCCAAACGGACTATTATTGATGTCCTGCAGTACTATTCGTGCGAAAAGTATAGGCCTGCCCGCTGGCTATTCTTGTAGGGTCTTTCATCCTAAGGCAATGCTGCGTACAAGAACTACAGGCTGATGTGAAACGAAACGAAGGCGGCCTGTTCAGCTGAAGTCCTTAGAAAACACTACAGAAGTCCCTGCAGCGCCTTCTCTGCCTCTTGGCGAGTGCAGCTGGCACGGGCAATTGCTTATGTATCCCCGAAAGTTCACAAGCAGCAGGAATCATTAACTCAATCAGTCTTCTCCAGCGTTCCTTTCTCAGAGACGTAAATTCCATCCAAAAACTTCCGGATATCCTTACGGCGCACCAGCGTGGCCTGGTGGATGAGTGCGGCTGCAAAAAAGCACAGCGGACCAGAGACTTGACATATGCAGTCCCGCTAAAACCAAACCGCATGGACGCCACTTTCCCAATATGACCCTTCACAATAATCTACTACGGCTGCAAAGCAGTTCGGCTGCAACTGTTCAGCAGAAGAGCCTGCAGGATCACCTGAACGGGACACCAACTCCAGGTCTGTGCCCTTTAGGGCTATCTCGTCCTTGACATTCGTGCTCTTTTCACAGACAACGCCTGGAAGAAGCTTGACGATGCGAACACGTTTCTCTCCCAAGAAGTTCCGGATCTCCACAACTTTGCCGCCTTCAATGATATTCAGGTTGATGGGAAAGTGTGAGTATACGAAGCGCATCTTGTACTCAAACTGCTTCGTCACCCCCGTAAACATGTTGTTCAAGTGAGAGCAAACAGTGCGCAGGCACGCAATGTCTGACTTCTTCCCCTGCCACGTTGCTACCTTTACGCGTTTGGCATCCTTAGTGGTGTGCAGCACAAGAGGCAGGTGACGAAAGGTCCGCTTCAGCTCCCCGTGGGGCCCCTTCACCGTAACCTCCCTACTCCGGACTGAGACGGTAACTGCGAAAGGTAAAGAACTCACACTACTTGCAAAACGCTGCGAAGCGGTAACCAGTCTTCCATCGCATGCGTTCACACTTTCAGTGACACCAGTAGCAAAACGCTCAAACAAATCACAGAAAAGCGCACGACTGCTGCACAGATATCAAAGTCGAGAGCAAAATATATCACTGGGGACAAATATATTATTCCAAGTCCGCTTCATCACGGGACTTTCATGAAGGGGATTCACAGGGCAAACTGCGGCCGCATGACTTCCAAACTGCAGCGCGTGCATGTTATGTAATTATGATGTGACAAGGGGAAGAGCTACGGAAATGCACATAGCAAAGACCGCCGGGCAAGATGCCTTTCTGTTGGTACCCCCCCACCGCCGCGAGCGGCAACTTAACGGATCGCAGACTTTCGGCTTGAGAAATTAAATAATGCATAACAGGAATTATGTGATTTTAGAAAATGCTGAGCAATTCAGTCGTCAGCATCGCCAAGCTTTGAGTGACTTCGACAATCCGTGGCCTCCATCGCCACTCCGGAACACCAGGAGCAATCGCAGACGAACATTCCACTGGGAAACAAGCCATTAGATACTTGATACATCATCAACACGAAACAGATACTGCTTCAGTCAAGAAGGTAGTAATAGCGCATGACAGCCTCTGCAGTGCCGAGTGGGGTGCACCGCCTACCCCCGTCGGGCACTCGGACGCTCTGCTCAGAGTACACCGTCTTCATTTTCAAAAGCAGCGTCAATAAAGAAAACACCGTCGAGGACCGCTTTACTCAGTGATTCCTCCTTCGTTGTCGTTCGCCCGCAGCTTCTTTTGCTCCCCGCAAGAGCAAGGCAAGCGCATGCGTGGGGCTTTGGGGCGGGACCTTGTCGTAGAGGAGCTTGTTGATGAGCTGAGTATTGGGACAAGTTGTGTGATGTGTGATACCGAAAACTGGAAGGAGCCAAGATTTCATTCATAGGTAGACTATTGGAAGTGCGGTAACACATGGTATTTGCCACACGCGTTTGCCTCACCGTCAAGTAGCACTACGCAGACGAGTTTGCAGCGCCACAGTCCCTGAACGTGATTCAGTCCTAATTCTTTACCATACGTTACATTAGACCATGAATAGAGTATTAAGGCTCTTTTCTGCTAATATCAGGGCTCCACAGCTGCAGCGAAACGTAAGGGGCCTGTAAAGGAAAGGAGCAGGTTGTAGGGGCTCGCGCGAGACTAAATCCCAGCAATGACCGATATAATTCAAACTAAATGAATTTCATAGCACGAATTATATGGACTCTGATGATGGTTTGATGCCGCGAACTCCACTAGGCTTGGCTGTGGAGCTCCCTACAGCAAAGCCTAAGCCCAAGGCATGGGGCTGGCAGTCGTCCTGTAGCTAACAGGAACTCTCTACACGCC